TATGCCATAAATGATAAGAACAATAAATAGGCCAATAACTCCTACTTGAGTATATTACATATACACATAAAGAAAAAGAAAAAAGCAATTTAACGGTAAGATTTATCACTGGTGTCAAGCGTTTATCATAGCTTCGATCGAATTAGGCCTTTTCATCTGACATGTTTCTGATTACTTATTTATGTACTGTTATGCGCACAAAAGTTAATAAATATGTTAGCAATATTGCTTTCATATACACATACTTGTCATTTTTTTTTTGTTTTTATGCAGCTTTGCAAAATTTTGTTATTAAAGGACGCCGCGAATACTCTGCTTTAATCCTTAGCGCAGCCGAATATAATTTCACTCAATGCATTTCCGACTTTATTCAACGTTTACGTCTAATTTAACGCCCGTCTTAGCAACGACTAAGTTCACTGCTGGACATAAGTGGTCTAATCAAGCATTTAAATCTTATATCGAAAAGGCCTGTATGTACATATGTCCAATTTTTTTCGAAGCGTCACTTATACATAATCAATTGATTAGATTTTATTAATTGCCGATTTAACACCTGCAACAAGGTTTTTTTTATGATTAATTGGCTGTTATCGGCTGATTTAAATGGTTAGAGCAAAAAATATGTACATGAATAATCCAAAGCCATCGAATGCCATCTGGTTAATGGTTTTAAAGCATACATACATACATATGTACATTAGACTGCATCATCAAAAAAAGTTGCGGTTTTTCCGCCGGGAGTACAAAATTTATTATATTTTAAGACGTCCACCAAAATATTTCGGATAAATATTAAGATTTCAGCGAGCGGGACCGGTTTGAAAATACCTCCAGAAATGGAGTTTTTATAGATAAAAATAGTTTCTTAAAGCACATTTTGAAAGAACTCCCCTCAGATGACAAAACAGATTAGGCTTAAAAAATCTGCATAAAAATCTTTTCAACGGAATCGTAATAATGAGATTTATGATGCTGTTTTTTTGACTTTTTTCAAAGATTGATTTACGAAAAACTTAAATAACTGGGCTAAAACTGTTCTGATTAAGACTTATGGCATCTCGGTAGAAAGGCATTTTCGCACTATTTTTATTTATGTACAGAAAAAGTCATTCGTGTTCCATTTTTTGTTTGTTTTTAAATACCAACACATCTTAATTCAACTTGGCATGATGTTCGTTCATCCCACCTTTCTCTTTCATCCTTTGAATGAGCTTATTAGCAAAGAAAAAAAGGGTGAGAAAACAGCTTTCCAATGATACCTCACAAGTCTAAACCGGAAGAGTTTAGGTTCAGTTATTCAAGAAGTTTAGGTTCAGTTATACCAATCTTTGAAAAAAGTTAAAAACAGTATCGAAAATCTCATTATTACGATTCCTTTCAAAAATTTTTAAAATTTTTTTTTTTTATATTTTTATGTAAATTTTTTACGCTTGAACCGTTTTGTCATTTGAGGGGATTTTTAAAAAAAAAAACATCTTTAAGAAACAATTTTTATTCATAAAAAACTCAATTTTTCGATGTATTTTCAAATTAGGCCAGCTCGCTTAAATCTTAATATTTTTCCGAAATATTTTGCGGGACGTCTTGAGATATAATAAATTTTATAATTCGAATGGAAAATAAGAACCGATTTTTTTTTTGTATGGGGAGTGATTTAGTCTAATGTACATATAAGTATTGCACTTTCGGTAAAGCATGTAAGCTTTAAGGGATCTAACTGTAATTTCATTACTTTTAGTTTCAGCTAACAAAAAGGCGATTTGCACATACATACATGTCAATGTATGTATGTATGTATGTAACCGAATATTTATTTAATTGTTACAACAAGCCGGTGTTTTAAAGTAATGCCGTTCGTTTATAAGTAAATGTACATAAGCATAAAACATGCATACTCACATACATATCTACTCCCTTATCAGCTAAAATTCAGGTGTTTTAATGGGCAATAATTGCTTCACATATGCACATGCTTGCATGTGGACATATACGTACATACATACATATAAATATGCCAAAAATATTTGAGATAAGTTAGTTACTTTGCTACTGTGTCATTCACTGTGTTTATTTTATGGATAGACTAATGAATGGCACCCTGAAATTGTGCATATGGAAACTGTGCGTGCATACGAAATAATGCAAATGAAAAAAACCCGAAATAGTGCATATATGCACAGTTTCGACTCAAAACCGAAATAGTGCATACATTAATACGAACTTCTTTCTGCGTAGGCGGCCTTCGGTCATGTTTGATAAAAACTGTTTTATGAAAAAAATGCAAGTTTTTTATACAAAATATAAATTTGTACGAATGTCCGTATTACTCACTAAAATCCTTTTACAACTTAAAAATAATTGTTACGGCATAGAATCAGTTACACTTTACAATAAAACACAGCGTTAAAACTCTGTAGAGAAACAAAAATGGTAGTCGTAGATGGGGCCTTGCTATATTCAGGTAACGTTATGTGTGTATTTAAATTTTCTAATTTTATTTTGCTCTATTCTGTATATTTACTTTTTCATACTATTTTTTTCTACTTACAAACGGCTTCCAAGAATTATAATATTTTGAATTTAACAACGTACAATTGCCCCACGGTGCACAGTGGTCTGAGTCCCAAATACAGGTGGAAAGGTCGGAAAATCGAACTCTTTTTAACCGACTTCCAAAAAAGGAGGAGGTTATCAGTTCGTCGGAATCTCTTTTTTTTATTTTTTATTTTTTTTTATTTTTTTTATTTTTTATGTATGTTACCGCATAACTTTGCACCACGTCAACCGAGAATTCTTTTTGCAACGGAAAGGTAGTCCCATACTAATTTGGTTTAGATCCGATCATTGGATCATGAAATATATAGATATATATATATTTTTTTTAAGTCGGTTTTTTTTTTGCTAAAAATTACTTGTTTAATTTTTTTTGTATTCTTATGTTTGTTTATATCATATCAGTATGTTAACTTGATTTACACATTATAAGAGGGTGTAAACTATTTTATTCTATTTCCAATGTTTGTAAATTTGTATATTACAAATTTCAAAATGTCAAAAGATAAATTGTGCGAGTTAGTTCGAAAAATTATTTATGGGAGAATATTTAATAAGTTTTAAGCTTTCCATAACCATTAAGACTTTTTTACATTTTGCCCTGCTTTTTTTCCAGCGCATTTTGAGACATTTTTAAATATTAATAACTGCCATAAGAAGTACTACCTTTACTCCTATTCGAAGCCTACACAGAAGATAACGACGAATTTTACTTTCAATCTATCTTTCTAATCTTCATTATTGATAAAATTTCTTACCAATTCGACTATTCAAACCACGGTTGCTTAGTGTGTTATCGTGTGAAAAATTACAAAACTAAAATTTTATTCACAATGAAATGCTTTATAGTTTAACTATACAAAACCAATTATCTGACATTACAATCTCTTAGCTCACTTTATTTTAAAAGTCTTTCCAAATCCATTGCAATTTCAAAATTCGAAATTAAGATTCGAGATTCGTAATTAGCGATCCCAAAAACCCCAAAATACCCTGTTTCGATAAAGTTTACTGATTTCTTCATTTTTGTGCTCGCCATATTGGATCCGCCAATTTGAATTTTTTGACTTCAGATTCGTACTCAGCGACCCCAATAATACTAGGTATATAGAAACAAAGTGGTGTCAAATTGTGTTAAAGCGTGTTTGAGCAATTAGCTTTGTCCATCTAGATTTGGATTTCAGACCACTGTGCCGCGATTTCAACGAGGCTCCCCTCGTATGCACATTCTCAATGTGCGAAAATTTGTATTCGTTTTGCGGTAGCCCCCAAATATTTCTGAAGTTGGTAGGGTGGAACTAACGCTTCGCGAGACTATCTCTAAATTTTTCTGCAGCAAAATTTTAGTTGAAAATATCAAACATAAACGCAAGTTACTTCAAAAATACCCAACCCTGCAAAATGTTGCTCGGAATCAGTCTCCATGGGGTATAATTGGGCATAGGGATGGGTAGTGGGAGTTAAAATTCGATTTTTCCCATATTTCGAACATTTCCCAGTGATTCGATTATACGATTCGAAATTCGGCAATTTTCAACAATTTTTTTCACTGAAAATTTAAAAGTTTTTTATTTGAATTTGATATGGAAACTGATAAAGAAATCATTTTCCACTTAAATTGCTTTCGTGAAACAGACAGTAAGAAAGATAACTTAAATCAAAAAAAATATTGAATTGAACCTATATTAGTGTGATTACTTATCCGTATTGCTCTAAATAGCTTCACAATAAAGAAGTTTTTTTTTTGCAAATAATACAAAACAAGGAACGAAATAAAAATTTATCTAAGTAAATAAACGCTGCCGCGACTTAAAAATAAAAACCAAAAAAATATCGAAGAATTTACCAAACGTATTTTTTTAAGTATCAATAATGACATCGTATGATTTTGAGAGTTTTTTTTCTAAATAAAGACGAAATGTTTACGAATGTTTACGAAAAGTTGTTTTTTCCCCATTTAAAAACTTTGAACGCTTTGAGCGACATCCAAATATTTTTTGATTTCAAAATAAAAAAATAAGGGTATATTTTTTCGTTATACAATTGAAAGCATACAAATTCCGACTTTACTTTTATATGTACATGCATTTTTGGACCACCCTAGTGTGCATACATGATTACTCAAAGGCACAGGGTACCGTAATTTCTTAAATTTCTCTCAGCAGAAATCAGAGAGCTGTTTGCGTCTCAGCTATTTTGAAGAGCCTAAAAAGAGGCAACGAATTTCGCATTTAAACTTTTACCGTCAACTGCGGAAATGATATTACGGATGAGAAGTCCCTGGGTGTGTTATTTGTTTTCAGCGTCTCAGGGAAGAAAATTTGTATGTTTATCATAAAATTAATATTTTTTATTAACATCTTTACAAATAATTAAAAAATATTTCGCTACTTAAATCATAACATGTAGCAAAAAATAATTACATAAATATTTGTAGAATTTTCTGTTGACTAAAAGTATCAAAGTTAAATTATTTATGCACACAAACATGTGCTGCGATAGTAGCAAAACTCAAAATGACATTGTTTGCAACTTGTATACTTACTTATTTATTTTCAATAATTTTCATTTTAAATATAGTTCGATCTATAACAGGAACTACATAAATAAAAATTTCAAAGCTTGCACAATGTTTACAAAAATTAATCAAGCTTAAAGAAAAATTGCATCAAAAATTTAAATTTTTAGAAAATTTTCAAGGATGCAAGGATTTGTAGCCCATCCAATTTTAAAGTGCAAGTTTCAAATCCCTACAAATTACCATTGATTTTTTAGATTTTTTGTGTTTGTCAAGGGTGTCAATTTTGAAATTTTGATGTAATTTTTTTTTAAGTTTGATTAATTTATGTTAAATTTGCGCAAACTTTGAAACTGTTATTTATGTGGTTTCCGTTATGGATCAAACTGTATTTTATATGAAAATTATTAAAAATAAATAAATAAAATAAATTTTTTGACCACAATATAAAAACCAAAACATATAACAGATAAACTTATTATATAAAACATGTATGCGGGGTACTTAAGTATACGATATTTATGAAATAGATTGTAAAATAGCACACACGCTAAAGGTAAAATCAATATTTATATGGGTAAGTATGTATATACACTTATGTACAAACAAAATGGCAATCGCAATAGTTATACAAAATGCACAAAGATAATAAAAACTTAAAATATTTATCCTAAGTTAGACTGAGCTAAACGAACCACAACCTACTTAAGTACATCACAGCGTTACTACTGCTGCTTGGCTGGCCGACAAAACTACGCGTATAATAATTTGCCACACACTTAAAAAACAAGCCTATCAAATTTAAATACATATACATAAAATAAATATAGCTGCAGTCTATGTGTTTAACGCTCTCCTTCGTAAGCCTCATTGAAGTGCCCATTTCCTCTATTGCCGATGTAGGTCTCTCGCTCGGCTTCTCTTTGCTTGGAGATATTGGGCGTAACCACTACTTGATTAGCTTCAGGATCCTCGCCGTGCTCCACATATTTGTATGGAATAGTGAGTAAGACGAAAATGAACATGTCGACAATCATAAGTGCGGCAAAAAGCGCAAATTCGGCAGCCTAAAGTGATCGAATTTTGTTAGCTAAGAACTGCGACGAACAAAAGACTTAAGAAGCAAACCTGTGAGTCGAAGAATTTCAGTTCAGCAATAACAACTACCAACATATTGCCGATGGAGACGGACAGTAGCCAGCAGGCCTGCAGGACGGACGTCATACTCGGTGGCGCCTGCGTATATGAAAATTCCAAACCCGTCACGGAGAACATGATTTCGGCTGCTGTGATGACGATGATCTGCGGTAGTTGCCACATAATATGAATGCTATTGGGCGGTGTGATGATGTGCGATTTTGAGGTCTACAAAAGCAAAAGAAAGTTATTAATGCACAATTAAAACAAAAAAAAACAATTGTCATACATGGCAAAAAGTCATTTGATACTCACAAAACCATCTCTGGCATTGCCATGCACCAGCAGCGCATATACACCGCCACCCTTCGTATTTATGCTTGCGATTTTCTTGTTCGCCACTTGCAACTCGCTTTCACCATTTGCAACATTCACCACTTGGGTGGCATTGCGAAAGACCAATGGCACTGCCGTCTCTACTGCGTCGGTTAAAGTGATGGCACTCTCCTTGTCCGGCACATTCAATAGCACGCGTACAATTGGATTACCCAGCTTTGGCTTAGCCGATGAGTCTACGAACTCTTGCATACCTTCGCCAGAGAGAAAGTAGCTCGTCTCCTTGCCAGGTGTCAGTCGGAAAATGCCCGAAAAGTTATTGCAGCGATCGCTTGCCGACGTTGCGTTGAATGGATAAAGAAGTGGCTGTGCCACGGACAACGTCTTGCCCTCCCACAGGCCAAGCGGTTCAACAACACTTGGACGATTCGGTAGCTCTGTGGCAAAGCGATAGGCACAAGGCATACCATTGTAGATGCGCAAATTAGCCTCGAGCGCCGCCGGTGGCATTGGATCAACCTCATTCAGTTTGACTTCGAGGAAGGCAGAGAGCAGGAAAGCAACGGCAGCCAATAGACCGCCAAGTGTGAGCTTTTGCAATGGTCGCTTAATGCCCAGCTTTGCCAATATCGGATAGAGTACATAGGTGAACAGCGGAATCATGCCCAGAATGAGTAATGGGTTGACAACTTGCATCTGATCTGGCTTTATTACATAACCGAATGTTTCACCATCCATACGCTGCGCCTGGAATGTCCAACGTGAGCCCTGCTGATCGAAAAGTGCCCAAAAGACGGGGAATGGCAAAAACAGCACTAGAATCTTCAGCAAAACCTTGGTGTCGGCCACCATCTTTTGACCCGAAGTCGGCTCTGCATAATCCAGCCAGTGCTTGCGTGGGTTCGTCTGACGCTCACGTCGCCAACCGCCAATGGCATCGGAAATGCATTTCGATACGCCGAATATCATATTGCCAGCAGGTGGCTTAACAACATACAATTTCCGGCCAGCAACAAAGATCACTACGGAGAGCAACATCAGCACAGCTGGCACACCGAAGGCCAATGAAAAACAATTTTTATCACCGAAGCAGTGCACATCCTCACGCAGGATGGGTGTGATTGTGGTGGAGATGGTGGATCCAGCATTAATGGCGAAATAAAAAAGCGAAAAGAAGGTGGCCAGTTGTTTCGCTTGTTCGGGCATGCGGAATTGATCGCCGCCGAAGGCTGAAACGCACGGCTTAATTCCACCGGTGCCGAGCGCGATCAACGTCAGACCGAGTATGGTGATTTCTCTACAAAATAATAGAATTCGAAAATTTAGTATTTTGAGACTTTGCTGAAATTGAGATGTGCTCCATCTGCAATACTCACTTCACGGGTAGGTGCAGCAATGGAATAGCGCCCAGCGACACAATCACGCCACCCAAGGCATACACCATAGACAAATATAGAATGGTTCGGAATTTCCCCAACCAGCTGTCGGCGATAATGGCGCCAACTATCGGAAACAAATACACCAACATGGAGAATATGTGGAAGAGCACAGTCGCCGTATCCTTGTCGTAGTGCAATTTTGTGGTGAGGTACAGCACGAGAATCGCTAATAAAAAAGGGAAAAGTTAATAAAAATAAATGTTTTCGTATTGGGTGAAAGTAAGCAGAGTTCATTGACTGATTCTTACTTCGCAATCCATAGTAATTGAAGCGTTCACAGAACTCATTGCTGATAATGAATGCCACCGATTTGGGATACTCCGTTGGCTGCAGAGAAAAAAAGAATAACAAAGTGATAAAGAGAGTTCTTTTTTTTGGGTAGTTAATATATATTGCTAAGAGTGTGTGTATGTATGTCAACAGTCAAGTAATGGTAAAAGACAATAAGTATGCACATACATATAAACATTTGTTGGGGTAAACAATTTTCTGTTTTTGCAATTTGCTTGGTGCGAGGCGCACAAAAATGTGGTATTTTATAACAATTAAAACTGGTTTCGGTACTTGTGACCAAATGTTGACTGGCAATGAATGATGAAAACAGTGGCAAATCTTACAATGAAACGAAAAAAATTTATTTGCACAACAGCGGCACGCATACATATGTATGATTATATCTTAAATAAAAAAAAGTATTGTTGTTGATGTTGGCAAGTTGATGATTGATTGCCAGATATGTGAATAATTGAATGTAGCTGATAAATGGCGAAAAAAAATTAAAATTTGGTGATCACACATTTTTACTTTGCGTTTGTGCCAGCTCCTCGTACAAACTGTGGTCTAAAGTTATACAGCACCTACAAATGGTAGACGCTTTTTCAAAGCAGAAATGCAATCGAGGGTTTGTCATTAACTATCGAGGTTTAGTAAAACCGCAAAACACTAGGCTAGCTCGGTATGCAAAATGTTAGTTCTTCCTAATTCTTTTAATTACAATGTCTGAACACAAAAAAAAAATATGAATAATGAGCTTCGATTAAAACATATTTGCAGCTACTAGTATTTCTACCTTACAAGTGCATGTGTCAGCATGTCTCATTATTGCTTGATGGAATAATTGGCAAATCTAATTACAAAAGCTGATTACAAACGTAATGCAATAGAAATTTTCCTATTTCTAACAACAGATGGATTTAAATACAAATCAGAAGGGTAAAACGTTGACGGATTTAGATGGAAAACTAATTAAATATTTACATATACACAAGTATAAACTTGCTATGTGAGCTTTTCATAACCGCAGCAGTAAATCACTCATACAACAACAACTAGCACTTGTATTAACCGCGCAACAAACACTGTGTTTCATTGAAACAAAATTCCAAAAAACATTTTTCACAACTTTACAACGAAATTAGATATTTTTTCTCTTTTGCGAGACAATTTTCTCACTTCGGTTTGCTAGGCATCTCAACGGCTCAAAAACGCCCAAGCCAAGCTCTTTTTTGCAAATACACACATGTACGTGTACATATGTATGTATGTACATTAAACCAGTGAACACTCAATTTCAGCACCAAAAAATGTAACCCAATGAAAACTAAAACAAAACCTAGCCCCTGTAAAATTTTAAGCTTTTGTTAAAAAGGTGCTTTATATTCACAACTTTGAATGCGCGTAAAAACTTCCTATAACTTTCGAAATGAAAATATTGCATAACTTGAAAGACTTAAGGCGAATTAATGCACATAAAATAGGCGTAAATGAATGCTTTGCCTTAAACAAAAAGTACATAAAACTACTTTTTTCAAGTTATTAATTAATAATTCGGAAAGTTGTCAATAAACTTTCAAATTGTATGAACTTAGGTGTGCTAGTAATAATATGGATCTTCGCCTTTCGTTCTGAATTTGAGTTTAATTTGGCCTTCATAATCCGTTTTTATTAATGTTGGACTGTAATGCTTCTATTTACGTAACTATTTTGCATGTTAATTTCAATAAAATCCGACCATAATTACAATATTTAGAACTGTAGTACTTTATCAACTTTGGCGTTATCCATTGAGTCAATAGTATACAAGTATTTACCTTTCAGTAACCAAAACGTTTCCTAAATTTAATTCGATTTGCATTATATATCTGTATATATGCAAATAATACCACAGCGGCCAATAGTGTGCTAAATGCACTATTTTTGCGACAAATTTGAATCTGTCGAGAACTAGGACAAAAAGCGAAATAAATGTAACGTTATTGTAATTTATTTTGAGATGGAAAATTCAGAAAAAATAATCTCGTTGGGTTAAAAATTACATTGACTTTCAGAAATAGAGGCTATTCTTTTTTGCTTTTTTGATCATAAAGCAGTATGCAAGGAACTTACATATATTTGTGCCGTTCTTCCGTCTCAAGGAATCAGCGTTCATTGTCGAATAAATCGAAAAACACATCTTAAGCTTTTTTTTTT